TTTTTTTTTTTTTTTTTTTAAAAAAAAAAGCTGATTAAATTTTTATGAACCAGTCAATGCGAAGAAAATTAAGTGTCCATTTTGAGAACCAGGATAGCACTTTGAGAAAATAAACTGTATCTACCCTTGATATGCTGGTCTTTATAGTACAGACATAAATACTGTGAACATATGCTCATATACTTCCAGGATTATCCTAAAGTTTGTAAGTGAAATTCCTTTATCCTTTGTTTTCTTCAGTTTGACTGTTCATTGCACTAACATTTCCATCAGAAAGTGTGAAGAAGAAGGGGAAATGAAAGCTAGTAAACATAGTTTATGTGAGTTTGGCTCTTAAAAGTGAAGAATTCAAAACAGCTAAATAAAATTAGATTTAAGGTGTTTTTATCTGTGCTATTCCTGTCCTGCATTGCCACAAATCACTGGGAATACATTTGTATAACTTGCTTCCATTTCTGGTTTCAGAAATTTTTGAGATATTGATATGGAAGCTTTTTATTTGAAAATCAATAATAATCATTGCTTCTGTTAAATAGTGCTTCTGCAAGCAAGTAAGGAGGAATATTAAGCAATCATTTGAACTATGCTAGTTGTTATTTTTCTCGGCAAATGGAAATAGAAGGCACATCTTCCCCAAGACAGGACTAGAAGCAACATTTATGTTCCCCTGACAACCTTTTTTACACCTCTGTTTTAGTATTTATATTTAATTGCCTGCTATTAGTTTTCCTCCTGACTTAAAATTCGTTGAAAAAAGACTTGCCTTTGATTTTTTTTGTAGCCCTGGTTTTCTATTGATGAGTGAAAGAATAAATATATAAAAGATCATTGGGATTTATATAAAAATTAACCAAATCTCTGTCTTAAACACTAAATCCAACAAAAGTAAACTGGTGAAGTTTATTTGGGATCAACCAGCTCTTTTCTGTTTCTTGCAAGATATTCTGAACCAAAATATATTCATTGCCACTGAATGAATATCTCCATTATTTTCATGCAATGTAAGGGTATCAAACTATTATATTAACTATTGTATCTTAGCTGCCTTCTAAATAAACTGAAAGTTTAAAAACACTACTGTGGAATGGGTTATCTTGACAGAGAATACCCAATGCAAACTTATTAAAAGACTCAATGTTTAAGAAGTTACCCTTCTCAGAGTTAGACTAAATAGCTTACACTATATAACTATGATAATTGAATATTCCTACTAAAGATTATTCAGAAACTCAGATACATTTTTGATGAAAAATGATCAAACATGGTGCTCTATTTTTAACTTAGGACTTCAGAAGATTTATTACTTTGAAATCAACTCTACCAAACTTCATGAATATATTACACTTCATTAAGATTCCTTTTCAATTCATTTGACATATTAAAGATAGGGTATCAGTGAATAATTTATAAGTAAAATAATTTTATAACATTTATCTTAGAAATTAAAGTAAATAGAACATTAAAATGAAGAAAAAAGAAATGAGTAACAGGGTGAGAATAGACAGGGGAATTTCACGATTAATCTTCCCATTTTTAGAACACTCTTACTTTGTCATCTAAATAATTTTACCAGATACTCTGTTTTATGAAATACACTAGTTGACAATTCCATTTATTTCAATGGGCAGGAGGCAGGAGGACTGCCAGTTCAAGGACATCTAGCTGAGACTAGATACAAACAAACTAAATAAACAAATCCCAAAACTCACAAAACCAAATATATACATATATAGCATGATTATTACACTATTGCAGGTGTAAAATATTTTACCTAATGATCTAATAATAATCTATTAATAATAGTAAACTTTTAATTATATGGTTCTGTTCAAAATTCCTTCTACCAGTAAATGATATCAAAAAAAGACAGCAGTTTTCAAACATTTTTGTTTGCTGTCCTGAAATAGAGACCCTTTGAAACAAAATTCCCAAACAAATCTATCACCCCAGAGAATTTGTCGAGTAATCTATACTGTTCTTGGGCCAGGCAAAGGGAAACAGGTATTTTCAGCTGGTGAAGGCAGGAAAGGTTGTATGGAGAGCTGATGTAATCAATTATGATACCAAGAGGATGAACATCATTATAAATGACAGTTGACCACCGTCAAGATGAAGAACTGACACATTACCATTAGGTCAGGGAAGTTTGATGAAGATGGATTTAATAAATATTCTTTGTTCTACCCACAAATACAAGGGGCTGCTAAAGCTTCCACCTGTCCCTCCCTGTGAATTTCTCTGAGCTGCACTTATTTCTGCTTCCCACTGTCCCCAGAGGCCACGTGTCACACTGAGAATCAAAAACTAAAAAAGCCATGCATCTGCCTGGGGGAAAGGGAGACTTCAGCATGCTCTTAGACCCGCCAGCTCTTATTAAATACCAACCAATGGTTTGCAAATAGTTTATTAAATCTTTTGTAGGCCAATAACCTGGTTTTCATTAGATTCAATGTCATTTTTTGGAGATGATAGGCACATACACCTCTTACCTTAGGTAATTATTAAATGAGCTTACTTTCAGCCCACTACAGCTTAAAAATAGATTTTCCTTAACTGGTCTCTGCATAACACATTTTCACCCAGTAAATCAAGCTTTAAAAATATATGCCATGGTTGCTTAATCTGAGCAATATAATGGCACCAAACCAAAGGAAATCTTAAAATTTCAATCATTCACAAAATTGCCATCATAGTGTTTATTGAGCAAAAATATTTTTATCTGGCTACTTTGCATCATCTAATATGCAACATTAAATAATCATTGCAATATGTCATCAAATATAGCTAGCAAAAATATTTTTATCTGGCTACTTAGTATCACATATATGCAACAATAAATATTCATTGCAACAAGGCATCAAATATAATTTTTTCTCTGGTTTCAATAAATTCATATGATTTCTATTTAATGATAGATACATTTTATTTTTACTTTTTCTTATCAAATTCTAGGTAGCACAATTAATATCCAAATGTTTACATTAATGTTTTCAGATCTTTCACTAGCATATAAAAATAGTTTAAATTTACCTCTATTTTCCTAATCCTAAGTTTCAGCAGTCATATAACAATTCTCTGAAATAGTCACAGTTAATTTTGTCCCATTTTTCTCTAGTCACAAATACATTCACACCTGCTTAAATTTGCACCCATCTTATTTCCTTTATATTTAGAAAATATCTAAATACTCTTATTTTTCCAAAAGCAGCAGTAAATTATTTACCTGAAATTGCAAAAGAGGGAATTTAAGCATTTTAGCATAATAAATGGTACTTTCTTTATTAAATAATTCCAGCATGTAAAACCATCCTTAAAAGTGTTTTGAAGGAAATTTTCAAGGAGCAAAATCATGTGACAAGAAATTATTGTAAACTCAATGTTTGAAATCTAGACTATAGACTTTAAATATCTCTTTTCATTTTTATGTATGTTACAGTAAGTAATATGAATGAGGTTACTGTACCATATAACTATCAATTAAAATTAAAATTTCATTTTATTTTACTAGTTTTTCAAACAGAACTTCACCTCAAGCACATGTATCCTAAAAGTTCTTTTCTGTAATCCTTAGCTGACAATTTTTAAAAATTAAGAAAGGAAAGCTAGATTACAATTATATACTCACCTTTTGATGTCTTGAAATATTCTGGCAAGATTAAAATGCATGTGATCACTATCGCAACAAATAATTTAAGGAGGACTGTTTTTGTCATGTCTACTCACATGACACAAATGTGCTCCATTCAGTACGCTGATGGTATGTTGCTTCCTGCTTCAAGTTTCATCTCTGTGGTACTTTACGTCAACGCAATTCATCTCATACTCACTTCCTTTTGGGTAAGACTTTAGAAAAAAATAGGCCTTGAACTCAGACTTCCCCATTTGGAGTCACTTTCCATTAAGAAAATCATCATATAATAAGCACTTGAAACCATAAACCAGAAAGATAAATGATCTCACGAAGCAAGGGGGTCTTATCCTCATCTAAATTTGAAACTGTTTTTCCACATTTACCAATGTGTGAGAGTAAATATAAACTCACAATATACTCACCAAAAATAAAAAAGATGAATGTTAGTAATGCCCAGATTGTATGGGCACCATCCATTCATTTATTCACTAAGTGATTGTTGACCCCTCTTAAGTGCCAGGTGTTGCGCTGTGATCTGGTGTTCAGAACAGTATGCCTATAGCACAGGCAAAAGTACAAAATGTAAGATAAACTAAAGATTCACGCAAATGTTTGGATCTACTTTCCTACCCTGTATATAAGCAGCAGAATGTAACACATTACTATTATGCCTATAATCACTGATTATTGTTACAAAACCCACATTTTCTGTCCCCATTTTTAAAAAATGATCTTTCATTAAGATAATCCTAGTGAAATAAAATACTCTGTTTTAGAATATAAATGAAAGGTAGGGAAAATTAATGGTAAATAAACCATATGTGTAAACCAATATTTTTACTTAGAAAATCTATGTATTTCTATTGTTCTTGGTTTCTGGTTAAAAAAAAAAAGAACCAAATACCTCTCATCATTTTCTCCCTGTTCCTGCCCACCTGTAGATCTCACTCCCATCCATTTCCATTTATCCTGTTTCTTGTTCTTACCCGCCCAATCCTGAACTCAGTGGAACAACAGGTTGTTAAGAAGTAAGAAGTAGGAGATAAAGGCTGTGCTATGGATCTGCTGTGTAAATTAACTGACATTTTTTCTGATTGAGACAGCAGTTGATGGAGATGGGAATGATAGTTTAGAAGATTTTAGGACCTCAGTGCAAGAACAGTCAAAATGGGAGTTAGACTCCAAACATAAAACTGACTTTAAGAACAGCAACAAGAATTATTCCAAGCTTGACATGGTGGTGCACACCTGAAATCCCAGCACTCAGGGAGGTGGAGGCAGGGAAACTGTTAAACTCAAGCCCAGCCTGGGGAACTTAGTGACTTACCAAGACTTTCTGTCTTCAAATAAAAAAGGCTGGAGTGTAGCTCAGTGTGAATGTACTCAGTTTAATTCCCAGCACTGAAAAAAAAAAGTCATTCCAGAGAAAGGAAGAACTGATGAGAGCCATGGCCTGCCCTGACTGCCGGACTGCAGGGTACTAGAACACAGGTTGGAGCAGTCTCCAGTAGAGACCCCAGTGAGGAGGTGTGGGAGGCACTGTCCCTTCATGCTTCTCCAATCTTACAGGTTTTACTAAATGGTCAATAAATAATTCTCTCCCCCTTTTGACCTTGTTTTGATTTCCCTAGACATTCTCTTATTTATGAATACAGACATTCCAACTATAATTCTATCAATTCTGTCAATGTTTATCAAGCTTATCAACTAAGTACTTACTTGATATATCACCATCAAGTCAGTAATTTTTTTTTTTGGTACCGGGGATTGAACTCTGTACTTGTGCTTGTGAGGCAGGTGGCAGAACCACTGAGCTAAATCCCTGGACCAAGTCATTAAGTTTTTGATCAGTTTTCTTTAAAAGGCAGTTAAATCACTATTTTTTCTACTTTATTTTCACTGTCCTTGAAATTAGTCATTAGTACCTATTCTTTTTATGTAAATTTTACATTGCTGTGATTCATTTTTTAATTCTTGTGTCCATAGTCATCCTTATTGATTTACATATTGTTGTGGTGGTCCTTCTTCCAAACATGTGCATACACATACACACACACACACACACACACACACATCACCTTGCTCCCTACCACACTGACCTAAGGCTAGTTACCTTACCCTTGGGCACCTAAAAAGCCTTTTTCTCTAGCGGCTGCAGGAGCTTTTGTTCTGATTAGGCTCATTTGTTCTGCACCTGGTTTCTCTGGTGATGACCAGATGGTGAGTATCAGGACAGCAGTAGAAGGACCATAAATCCCAAACCACAGCCTGGCTGCTCTGAGGATATAGGGGATCAGAATCTCGCAGCTGGCCTATGATCCACTTGCTGTACATCATTGTGTTATCTCTGAGTTAGCAAATCTTGAGAAAATTAAATATGCCTCACATATTTCAACAAGCTTTTTATTGTCCATGAATTGTTCAATTATATTGCTAATCTAATCTTTATAAATACTTTTATCATTCTGTCTACAGTTCCTAAATGTTTAAAGTGTTAGCAAAACAATGGCTAAATGACAAGCTCCAAATATCCACTGAGTGGTTGGTACCTGTCAAGATTCAGTAATAAAGGTCAAAAACAAAGAATCAAAAGTCTTACTTTTTTTGATTGTCATAATTCAGCCACTAAAGTGTTTTATAGAGCTCAAGATGTAGCTCAGTGGTAGAGTGCTTGTTCGATGTCTTGGATTCAATCCCTAATACTACAAAAAAATTTTACCACTGAAATTACTAAATACATAAACACAATATTAAATATTTACATTTTAAATACAAGCAATCCCTAAAATTTAGGAATAAAGTCCCAGTTCCTTGTAGGTAATCGAACTTAAAACCCTAATGCATCAGAAATAAACATACCGTAGGTGTGCTAACTCTTGATTCTATTTAACCTTTTATTTTATTTTGAAGATAGAACTGAAGCAACAGAAAATTTGGAAACATAAACAAACCTGATGTAGATAAGTGTTAAATTGTGTGTAAGCAACTTTCTCTAATCAGGTTATTTGTGGCTTTGACATATATACTATAAAGGTCAAAACTGTAGGAATGCTAACCCTCTAAGTGTATGTCTCTGGGTCATTGTTGGAATTTAATCTTCTTAATTTACCTTGAAGAACTGTGGGAAGCTGAGGGGCCTCCTAGAATCTGAGGATGGGTAAAGGACCCCGTGCTGCCTGGCTGTCCTCCTCTTGAGATGTGTCCCATTAAATCTGTTCTGTCCAGCTGTCCCTCAGACAAAGATCTACTATCTAGAATATATAAAGAATTCAAAAAAATCAGACCCCCCAAATTCAAAGACCCAATTCAAAAATGGGCATCTGAAATGAACAGATTTTTTTTTTTTTTTGGTACAGGGGATCGAACTTGGATCCTTGCGCTTGCACAGCAGGCGGCGAAACCACTGAGCTAAATCCCCAGCTGAACAGACATTTCTCAGACAAAGAAGTAAAAGCACCAAATAAACATATGAAAAAATGTTCAACATCATTGGTCATTCAAGAGATGCAGATGAAAACAATGCTGAGATTCCACCTCACCCCAGAAAGAATGGCTGCTATCAAGAAATCAACCAATAACAAATGCTGGT